AAGAGAGTATCAAAATTGACGATACCTCTGAAGAAAGCGCCCAATGTGCTGCGTTCGTGGGTCCTTCATCTCCTGATTGACCTGTAAATCGCGAATGATGTGCTACCTTGCTGAGGCATGCATAAAGGGATGAGGATCTGGCACACTGCACAGCAACACGAGGAAAACAAGAACTTTGAATGCACATAAAAGTAAAAAAATAGGACCTGATAATAGGCAACAGTTCGCAGAGCCAGCGTGGAGAGGTAGAGTGAGTTCGTGATAAAGTCGAGAATGTTCCATAAGTTGTGACAGTAGTCGTGGAGGCCGCAGTCCCACAACTGCTTGATCTCTACCCATATTAAACCTGAAATGTGAGTTCCTTGAAGCAGTGGTATCGCTACGTTCGTAAGCCGTTTTCATGCTGTGACAATTCGTAGCTGGGGTCAACCGTGCATTGCTCAGTTCTCCACATAGGAGTCGTATTTGAGTTTTCTGGAGAAAGGGTCGTATTATGGGTTGGTGAAGGCCAAAAGGTGGAAAAAGGGGGTCGCTTTGGAAGATTAAGGGGTGGTGGAGCGGGAGATATTGGTCGTTTATGTTGGGTTTTTCACCGGAAACCTCATGAAAAAAGCGTAAAATGTAAAATTGGTGGATTTGCTGCTGCTTCATCAGATATTTACCCCTTACGCTATTCCTCCTCCCGCTCGACAATTCGGAGGGAAAAAATGGGCGGAACTGGACTGTCAAGTGCTCTCAGATCTAAATATTATACTACCCCCTAAAGCTATGGTGGTGGTGAGGGACCCGATTGACTCTGCTCGTAGCGGTGATCGGCTGCACGACCAGGCCGCGTCATGCCGTTGGGGAAGTTTTGCAGCCAATTCGCCACATCTATTCCGTTCCTGTAGAGACGACGCATGGCGTATCCTGGGCTTGGCTGCATATGAACGCGCTGCGCACATAGAAGCTGAGGGCCGTACGGTTCTAGTATGCGATGCCTCTGGATCAGCACTGTTGTAGTGAATCCTAGCTAGGGATCTATACAACCAGCTTACTTCCCCGCATGTTTAGAGCACAGATACGCTCAAAAGGCTGACAATACATACCAAGAACCCAAATAGTGATGGCCATTTCCACAGGTGTGGGAGACGGTCCTCGGCCTTCTTTTCTCGAAGGCGCATTTTCTTCACGAAACATGTTGTCGACGCGGTCGATTCGTTGGCTAGCCATGATAAGAAGCGCTGAAAAAAATAAAGAAGCATTTGTACGGCAGTTGTAACGCCGATGACACCGTGAAAGAAACTCACCGAGGAAGACGATGTAGCTGGCGGAATGCGAAAGGAATTTCACGAAAGGCTTACGGGTAAACTGAGCGATCGCCGATTTGGGCGCGAGTAAATATGAAATTGAAAGAATCGGAAATGCCAGCCCAACGGCTGCGATCAGAAGGCACTGAAATAATGGGAATGTGTTTTGATAAAGGAACTGCCAATGTTGGGTGGATGGAAGGGCCTTCGAACTAGCAGTTAAGGTCCTCAGTTGCTTTATGGCATGTTTGCCGAGAGGAGAGAGAATGAATTTTGAATTTGTTCGTGTCCCGGACTTATCTGGCTTGGAAAAGAATGTTCAGGATACATGGCACGCACAAGGTATCAAAGCGTAAGAAATGATAAAAAAATCATTTCAGACTAGAGGAAGTCATTCTTAGAATGCGCCACACAGTCGTCTTTCAATTGGAATCGCTGTGCGATCTAGATGAGTGTCAGATTTTATAGAATGACGTGGAGGGCCAACCGATATGCGGGTCAGTTTTTACCTTGGACCCATTGCCGATTGACTGAACTTGCTGGGACGGAAAAATCGTTTGACCTGGGCGGAACACAAATTAGATACCGACTTGAGCCATGAGCTTGGTAAACAAAGGGAATGAACAAGGGCGGAAAAATGCTTGATTGAATTTGGAACTAACCTTGAAAAGAATATTCATATTTCGAAACCCGGGCAATCCTTCATACCAAAGACCGGACAGCAGCCTGTTGACAGTTCGGGTGAGCGACAAACTGAAACAGCACTGATTGGTGGACAAGCTCCAAAATACGATATTTTCGGCTATTTCTCGTGTGAGTGGACGTACCCTCTTCTGCCGTAATTTAATTGCGAGCTTCAATCGGGCCAGCTGCTCCGTCGTTGGAGTGCCTCTTGTTGTCACCTGAAAGTGTGAGTTGAATCGAGGCATTCTGAGCCAGGACTTTAAACCCTTCCTCTTAGGAGAGTCTAGTCTAATTCCCAATATTATTGGGTTATGGAGTTTTACAGGCACTGTTCGGTACTTACCGTTTTGACAGACATGTGCTCGAATTCCGTAAAAATCACGAAAGTTTGGAATTAGAGTGGTTAATAAGCGCATCCTATTACTCACAAAGGAAGGATGGTAGGTCGAAGTGGCCGTTATAAAATGAAGATGTATACCACCTGATGCGTCTCTAGACGCTGATTCCAAATCTGCCTTCCAAATCTGCTAAACGACTCTCCGAACGGAGTTATGAAGCGTAATAGCTCAGTGGTGATGGTCCGGGGTGGCAGGTAAAAGCTCGTAGGATCGGTTCCTTTGCAAATTGGTTGCTTTGCTTTTGTCTCTAGAAGTGTTGCGGACAAAAGCAAAGCAACAAACTTGCAAAGGAACCGATCCTACGAGCTTTTACCTGCCACCCCGGACCATCACCACTGAGCTATTACGCTTCATAACTCCGTTCGGAGAGCCGTTTAGCAGATTTGGAAGGCAGATTTGGAATCAGCGTCTGGAGACGCATCAGGAGGTATACATTTCATTTTATACGGCCACTTCGACCTACCATCCTTCCCTTGTAAGCTTCGTCCCATTTCGTAGGGCAAGCTTCCAATTAGACGACTTTGGCGTGAAAAAGCTCTGGTTGGTGGTGACGCGACTTTCTTAACGGTGTCCCAGGAGATTGCGCGTTCAATCTCGTTCTCACCCTTGTTGAGAATAGAAGCTAAATGTTAGGGTGCCAAAATAGCTCCCGCCTAAGTCGCACCGTTGGTCGATCAGCAAAAATCATCTGGGTAGCATACTCATATAAATCATTTTCAAATTAAAATGTTGTCTATCTTGTTTGAATAGTTCACGATGAAAATGCGGGTTACGTGCGGGCGGACGAACTGCGTTTCATGGGTGCCCACCTAGAATCCACACTGGAGCATTTCAGCGGCCTTCTCAGCATGAACTACTTCATTGGAGGCTCAGGTCAGGATTAGGCGGGTAAGAGGACGTATACTATGGCTGGGTCTACAAACACAGAGGTGACTCTGTGTTTGCAGACCCAGCCAGCATTTAGGACGAAACTTGAACTCGGAACTCGAAACCGCGTGGGAAGCCCGCCTCCACCCCAGCGTTTAGGACGACGTGAAGTATGTATGACGGCCCACCGCGGAAGATGGTGCACGGCTGCCATTTAGCGTAAAATCAGCTGGGTTGATTGCCGTATCAACAATTTCACTGAGCCAGCAATGGTTGGCATGTCCGAAAACTCGTTCGGACATGCCCTTCTCCTAACCCAGCCTCCTTCGACGCTGTTGGAGAAAGGAGTTTTATTTTCTGCCTTCTTGATGGCTTCTTCACACTTGTTCTTCATGGCGTTCCACTTCGCACCTCTGTACTCACCTTCAAGCGCAAAAATGTATAAATCCGTACCTTTAGACAAACGGCCACAGCCTAATCGAGATTGACAAGACTTTATGCAATGGTCATATAATCTGATAAAAAAGGCGCTAACGACTGGGAGCATCCGAAAGTTGCAGCGATGGTAGGCGCGCTCCCCCAAAATCACAAAAAATCATGAAAGTCGACGACCCAAGAGCTACAAGTGATGTGTTCATTTACGAGACGAACCTCTTCCCAGGCAGTTGTCGTGTGATTGAGCACAATCTCGAGCTCTTTCGACCCTCGCACTTGATCCAACATATTCACCGAGAACTTCTGACATTTTTGAGAAAGCTCCTGAATTTGTCGATTAATTGCATTCTGGAGAATAACTTGTTACCATTTTGTAACCAAATCTTAAAAAAGAAGAAATGAGACGCTA